ATGTGTGTGTGTGTGGTGTGTGTATTCACACACACCACACACAAATATTCTGTCTGCTTGTCTGTGAGTGTGTGGGTAAGAGAAGAGAGGTTATACACTACAGTATCTTTAATATGAAATGTTCTTCATTACCTACATGAAGTTACCAGGAGCAGATGTTGAGGTTTGGAATGGATATTGAGATTATTCTTAGTGGATTTATGAACCTCAAATCTAGTTTTGTTTCTATCACCCGATATTGGTGATGCACTAGAAATGTCAAACTGTTAAGTGGAGGAGTTTCAGAATGAACTGGGCTGAATCAGTGTTTCTTAAACTTTTTGCTCTCAGGACCCTTTCCTATTTTTAAAAATTATGCTGGAGCTCAAAAGAGCTTTTGTTTATATGAGTTATATTTCTTGATATTTACCGTATTAAAAGTTAAAATTGATAAATTTGTAGAATGTTTATTGAATCATGTAAAAATAACAATCATAAACCCATTAGATATTAACATAAAATATTTTTCATGAAAAAACCCTATTTTTTAACAAATAAAAAATAATAATGAGAAGAATGATATTGTTTTGCATATATCTCCAGTATCTGGCAAATAATTTTGATTTTGAGGACCCCTGAGAGGGTCTTGGGAGATCCCCAGGGATCCTTGGACCACTGTTACTATAACCACTGTAATAGGTAAAGGTACTGGTATAGATATAGGCTTTATCTGTGTATTGGACTATTTTATAGCCCAGATTTTAATTCCTTTCTTAAATAACTGCCATATAAAAACACAATATTTTCCAGAAAATAATCTCGAGGGTACAAAGTGTTGTTCATTGTGGAAGCTAAATAGGTATGGGCCTCCTTAGTGGTTGAATGGGAGACTTCATGAAAGTTTTTCTACAGACCAATATAGAGGTCTGATAAATGTCATTTAAAATATATGGCCAGAGCAATTTCAGATGTTTCCAGGGAGTATGGAGGCTAATCATAGGGGATCCTCTAATGTAAGAGGCTATGGATCTTGCCACCAAAACTGTATTTCCAAGGAAAGAAATTGGCTGCAAAGTATTGTTTGGAAACATATTTCACCAGCTTTTTATGTTTTTGATTTTATTTTGTATCCATAAAGTACTATTTTTAAAATTGGATATGAGGTTTCTGTATCTGCAAATCCTATATCTGCTTCAGCAGAGATTACATTCTGCTGAAATCAAACAGACTTCATTTTTTGGTTGGCTGGAGAGTATCTCTTGATTTCTAAAATGTTTCAAGTGCTCATGTCTCATTTCTTCTAATAATAAGAATAAAAATTAGAAATAGATCATGGTTTTGCAGTATAAGGATAATTCTAAACCAACATAGCTAGTACAAACCATTAATTGCAGAGTGATTCAGCAGTCAAACTAAAGATGAAGGGGGAGTTCTGAATTGCAGTCTGCCAAATTTTTTATAAACTGGTCTGGCTTGTACATCTATTTAATGTTTTTAAACTGTACCTAGAATTTAAGGACAGCGTACAAGTAATGATAACAATGTAAGTACAACCATAAACCAAATCAAACCCACTAATTATAATTAGTGTTACATAATTTAATACAAGAATCAGTAAATAATTTCTCTAACTCTTCCACAACGCTCATCTAGAGGCTGCACATATCAACTGCACAAATCTGGAATCTATTAGATAGCAGCCTAGAGAGAGAAGAACACACTGCTGCCACTAAGTGGTTGATAGGTTGCCCAGTCAACAGATAAATTTTAGGATAGTTATTGGATGCATCCAAGAGTAGAGAGCCAGTTTGGTGTGGTGGTTAAGGCAGCAGTCTAGAAACCAGGAGACCGGGAGTTTTAGTCCCATCTTAGGCACAGAGCCAGCTGGGTGACCCTGGGCCAGTCACTCTCTCTCAGCCCTAGGAAGGAGGCAAGGGCAAACCACTTCCGAAATCATGCCAAGAAAACTTCAGGGACTTGTCCAGGCAGTTGCCAGGAGTCAACACTGACTTGAACGCACAAAAGAAAAGGAAAAGAAAAGAAAAGAACCCCAAGAGTAGCCCTGAATATGTTTGACTCATACTCCAAAACTACTTTCTTGAACTCCAGCCCCAAGAACACTTATGCGGTGGCTGCCCCTGGGCTGCACGACAGATCGTCCTTGCTTACCAGTGGCAATTGGGAACTCCATTGCTAAGCGACGTGGTTGTAAGGTACGGCATCATGTGACTCTGCCGGTGGTTCTGGCAGTCCCAGTTGCTGTCATTAGGCAAATCCTGCATGGTTGCAGCGACCTGCAGTCACGCGATCACCATTTGTGACCTCCTGCCAGCTTCTCCATTGTCTTTACTGTTGGAAGCTGGCAGTGAAGATAGCAAGTGGTAATCACGTGATTGTGGGATGCTGCGACGTCATAATTGTGAGCTGGTTGCTGAGCATCCAAATCGCGATCACGTGAGTGCAAGGATGCTCCAGTGGCTACAGCTATGAGGACAGGTCGTGAGTACCCTTCCTTCAGCACCATAGTAATTTTGAACAGTCGCTGATTGAGTGGACATTAAACGAGGACTACCTGTCATCTAAATGACCACCATGTAGCAGTTAAGAGAGGCAAATTGTCTGCTGCTATCTAATGGTCATTAGGTCAATAGTCCTTAAAAAATATAAAAACCTGATGGGATGGAACCTACAGGCCTTACAAGTATCCTGCATATATTCTGGTCAGTAGCTTTTCTAATGGTTGGTGCCTTTTGAATTTCAGCCAGGGAGAATTGCAGATCCCTGGCCTTACAGTGATGCGTGGAAGAGCTCTGTGGACTGCCACACAGCATGGCGCCATTCCAGATATGCATTAAGAGCATACTGTGAGGGCAGGTGATTTATACCAACAATATTTCCTCACTTCTCTGGGACAAGAGGAAAGCATGGCAAAGCAGCTGCGTAGATGAGCCCTAAGAAATCAGTATATGTTAATATAAACAGAAAAACAGCATTTTCAATAAAACTTATTTTTTTATAATGTACTGTTTATTTCTAAAGTAGTTTAACTGCACCATGTTTTAAAGCAGGTCCTTAATGCAAAATGCAATAATTCTTGAACATTACTTATTTTAACATTCCCTCAGTGGGGTTCTCACTCAGCAGGATGTGTAGTTGTACTGACAGGTATGCAAAAGTCTCTCTCTGCCTGCTAAGACTGAGATCAGCTCAAATGAATACTGAAACAAGCTACTGTATGATGCTTTTAATAATGAAAAATAAAATAAAACGTTGGTAGTATTGTTCTAATGTTTCCATGGATACAGTACGTAACTTCTGCATGAAAATGTATGGATAAAACTGGATTCTGTAATTAGGAATAATTCAAGCTTTGACTATAGTTGACGATATAATAAAGGATTTATGAATAGTTATCCATTAGATTGTCTTGGATGCTAAATATATTTCAAACTGTTTTTTAAAACCACTCCCTATCTCTTCATAACTGTCAAATAAAATTTTCCCAGTTGCTTTGCAAGTACATTAATGAAGACTTAGATGAGGACCTTATAATCCACTTTCCCAAAATGTCCTCTGTTGCTGAGTATCAGTAGGAGTTAGGGATCACAGCAGCACACATCTATTACTGTATTTACCCAAAGGAACAGGAACTTAAGTCAAGGATGTTTTCTCCACCCCACAAAGGAACAGGACTCATACATTATTTAGAAGGAAAAAAAATCCTCTAGTTTTCCTTTCTTTATACCTTTCCCTTGAATACCCTGATTATGATCAGGGCTTCCAATATAATTGTTAAGTTGATGATAACTCAAATCTATCTGACTTTTGTGGCCCCTGATGACAATGCATTGTCAACTGTGACGTGAGTCTAACTAACATTTCCTCTTGGATCTCCTCCCACTATCTTAAGTTGAATATGAACAAGATTTAGATTGTTGTGTTTTGGCCCAACCATTCTTCCTATTCTCTACTGAGTCTCCCTATTTGTCTTCAGGGCTCCCAGATAGGCCCATTTTTTTTCCACCATAGCTCTGGGGTCTTGATTGATTATTAGCTGAAGTTATGTGCCTTTATTGATTTTTGTAGCTAGGGTCACCAATTTTCACTTGATGAATGTTCATAAGATGGAGGGGATTGTGGCATTATTGGTGTATATCTTGGTTATCCCAATCATAGATTATTGTAATATTTCCAGGCAGGTTTTCAGGATTCCTCTTTCTGTCTCCTGATCTTAGTCCACAGCAGTGTCAGTCAGGCTATTTTGGACTTTCCAAGTTATTCTTATGTCTCAGTGGAGCACAGTACTCTTCACTTGGCTCCCTATTCATGCCAGAGCTCAGTTTAAACTACTGGTATTTGTTTTTAGAGCCTTCCTATTACAAATCTGTTTGCCCTTATTTCTCTCTACAATCTTTTCTTTACATTCTTCTGATCAGGGCCTTCATTCATGTCCTTGCTGAAGGGTCCAGGTCTCCAGGCCTTTAGGGAACAGTTCCCACAGTTCTAAAATCAGGTACCTCCCTCCATTTCTATGTACATGTAATGGCTTTTAAAGAGGCTTAAACATAGCTTTAATTGATCAGTGGGTTAGTGTAGGGTCTGTTTGTTTCCTTATTTAGCTAACAGTTGTTGATTAACCCCTATTTCAAATGATTATCTATCTCTTTACACACACACACACACACACCCCTGAGCAAAAAAAGTTAGAAGCTGGGAAATTTAGTATAGTGTAGGTCAGAGTTACCTCAGCAGGAAATGGCACTCAGCCAATATGGGCTGATTTCTGAAGCTAAGACTTGGTTAGTATTTGGATGAGAAATCTGGAGATTTTTTGGCTTTTGGCTAGACTGTGAAGTTTAAAAAAAAAAAAAAATCCGACAAGGCAGCAATGGCAAGCCACTTTCATAACATTGCTTAGGGTGTTTATTCAGCCATCAGAAAGTAAGCTTGATTCTGAGGCATTTTAGCTTTATGTGAAAGCTCAGTATTCCAGCTAACTCTGAGCTGCTTAATATTTTCAGATGCAGATGGAAACTTGTGTAAAAATTACCAGCTCCTGACAGTAACTTTAACCATGCATCGACTTATCATCTCCTCCTCTGAGATACTGCGAAAACTAATAGATCTATATCCTTTTATATATTTTCAATTACTTCCTTAATTGTTGATACAAAACTGTGACAACCAAAGGATTTGAGAATAATATTCCAACACAATATATTTTTCTTTAAATTAGAAATACTACGTGTGTATATATCTCTATTCATATTTTTTTATATATTTAATGAAATAAATTGGGTCTCTTTATATTCTTGATCTTATTTCAATCTATGATTTTTTAAATCTGAACTTCAGTTAGTAATAACAGTAATTGCTGTATAGACCAAATTTTCATAATATGATTATGTTGTAGCTGTTGTATGTCTGTGTTTCTTCTTCCCTCCAAAACCTTGTATTATTTGGAAATGTATCCTTAAAATCTTTTCTGAGCAGTTCTGTCTGTTTCAAAATGAAAAGTTACTATTCTTTTTACATTTGCTGAACCAGTTTGTATTGATTTTCTCTTTGTCCAGAAGTTTATTTAAATTGAATTTTCTTATAATAAATTTGATTGGCTTATAGAGTTTCAAAATATCAATCAGCTTGTCCTTTGTCATACTTATGAAATCAAACTAGATGTTAAATATAAGTTATTTTTTAATCAAAATAACAGGTTACAAAAAAGCAATGAACATTGGGTTAAGTAGTACCACAAAGCAAGGGATCTGTATTTCTTAAAATGGATAGAAAAAAAATTGACCTTCACAGCTGAATTAGAAATAGAGAACTGATTATTATGTTTTTTTTTCCTAGCAAGTATATTGAAAATCCTTGGTGCAAGCTAACACTACATGTACCTGATAAGATTCAGTCTGTATATCTATAGAGTCACTGACACTCTTTCTAAAACTGTAACTAAGTACTTTTTTATTTCTGGATTTTAATCACCTGGTCTGCTGTAGGGCTCTTGTAAGCTTCTCCATTTCTCCTATATGGTATAGGAGATATACCAGGTATATATATTATAATATATAATATGTAGATATATTATTCTTGTTTTTAAAGTATAAAGAGAATTGGTCCTAATCTGCACAAGATGAATAAACAGCTGGAAAAAAATCCATTTACCTGGCAAGGGTACCCTGAGCACTCCAAATAAACATGCAAGATATTTCTAGATTAGAGGAATATGTAGTGTTTACCTAAACAGAAATAGGCACCTGGGGTTCATATGTGACCATCAGAACCCTATTGTACCCCTCCTGATTGTGTTGTTTAATCTGGCGGCAGAATTGCTAAATTTTATCAATGTGATTTGAGATCTTTTTCAGATTTTTGGTTAGGTTTGAAGATGGAAGTGGGAACAGTTTGCCTGTGGGAATTCTCCCTCTCCCATCTAAACTTTTCAGGCCAATACTCCTGGCCAAAAAAGGAAGGGAAAAAGATTGTCTATGTTCCTTTCAGTGATGTCCCAGCATAATAAGAAAACTTCTTGTGGCTCTTCAGACACTTAGAAGGCTGAGTTGCTGTCCCCAGTGGCTTATACATTGTCTACCCCTGCCTAGCCATTACTCTTCTCTTAAAGGTAGTCCTCATTTAGCAACCACAATTGGGACTGACAACTTGGTTGTTAAGTAAAGTGGTCGCTAAGTCAAACTGCAACTGTGCTTATGATCTTACTTCAGCTTTCCTTTGCTTTACAGACCTGCAAAGGTTGTAAATGCAAAGATTGGGTATAAAGTTACCTTTTCATCACTGTCGTAACTGTGAACAGTTGCTAAATGAGTCAGTCACTAAACAAGGACTACCTGTATTTTGGCTCAGAATAAACTAGTTATTTTTTTCCCAAAGATCTGCTTCTTTATTGATTTATCTTTTGGACCTTTTCTATTTGACAGCTTAAATTCCTTTGTATAATTGTATTCTGGACCTCAATACAAAGGAATTTGCATTCAAGAGATTAAAGTTCTGAAAGAATTTACCACTTTTGTGTGATGACATCATGATGGAAATTATGCAATATACATACTTTGCATAATGATATAATAATTATAATTATAATAATGATATAATAATTGCAAATCACTGCAAGTTATATACTTCCATATTTAACAGGTATTTATGAATAAGCTCCTTTAATATAAGAACATTTTGTTCTAATTGAAATGATATATTTTCATTGTTCATATGGCATTTAATTTTTTAATTTCTCTTGCGTTTTAACACATTTTCCTTAGCATATATCTACGTATTTTGGTGCCTTGGGAAATAATTCTTCACTTTGCTGTAAGATATGTTACCTTGTGAGGTAAGAACACATTTATTTAAGAAATAACCTGTGAAATCTCAGTTTACTGGGCCTCAGTGCAATAGCTTTTGCATGTAACGGACCAGATTTCTGTGGCAATTCATATAATTTGCATAATGAGGTCATTTTGCAAATCACACAAATTAAGTAATTTGTGTCATTTCATTTATATCAGTTTGCAACCTTTGTATGCTGACATCGTACAAATGAAAATTGCTATGATGACATAGATATTTAACATATATTAATAAATAACGGACACTCCCTCCCTAATTTTTTGTGAAAAGGAGGTTTTGCTGTATTATCAAGTAAGGAATAATGACACATTTGCTAAATTTCTTAAAGCAATAAATAGAAATGTATTACACACACAGTAATTCCTTGTGGAAAACTGTTCTCCATTTAGAACATATTCACTGTCATCTCTTTTGCAGGAAAATTGCATTTTTCCAAGCATTCAAACATGTATGATGTTTCTGTGGGTAATGCATCTATTTTCATACAGTAATGATTATGAACTCATTAGTCTCTGGATACTTATTCATGGTTCATGCACCAGGTAATGCAGCTAAAATAGCTAGTTTGCAAAGCCTTCTTTCCTTGCGAGTATCCCAGAGCCACTTTCCCTCCCTCCCTCCCTCCTTCTTTCTTTCTTTCTTTCTTTCTTTCTTTCTTTCTTTCTTT